CGCCCGGGCGAGGTGGCGGCCTGCGCCAGCCTCTTCCTCGGCTCCGGCGGCAAGCGCTCCGCCGGCACGCGGCATCCCGGCAAGCCGTGCAGCCCGCGGTCCTCCCCGCGCTCCGGGAGAGCCCGCTGGCACCGTGGCCGGGCCCCCGCCTCCCCAGCCCTTAGGTAGGCACCGAGATGAAGACCATCTTGGTGGAGTACACCAGGTCTACAAGGTAGGCAAGGAGGTTGAATATGGTGAGGAAGGTCACCCCCAGGCGCCTGTTCCACCAGCAGTTCGCACCGCAGGGGTTGGGGCGCCTCGTGTTCCTGAAGCTGTACAGGGGCCAGATGACGGTGACCGTGAGGTACATCACCAGCGCCAGGGCGTTGTAGCCGACGAGCATCTTCTCCAGGGGGCAAGGCATGTAAGCGAGGCACCGGCCGATGGTCATGATGATGATGAGGAGGGTGATGATGAAGCAGATGGCATAGACTGCCACACACCACTGCAGGGCAGGTTCGGAGCCGACATCGTCCAGCAAAGAGAAGATCAGACAGGCCACGTAGGCTTCGAAAACCTTGAGGAGCCCCGGCACAGTGGAGAGGAAGCTGCTGATGTCACCCGGCTTGGCTCGCGTTAGCCCCACCTCCAGAGCATAGGCGAGGAAGCAGAGGCAGGATATGGCCGTGGCGGCGGCCTGCCGGGCGCACGTATCAGAGTTACAGGGACTGGAGATGAAGGTGGAGGGGAACACCACGGAGGTGGTGAAGATCATCAGCGCGGCCAGCATGGAGAAGGCTGAGGTGAAGTCATCCCAGGAGAGGGGCAGCTTGGGGTACAGCTCCAGCAGCTCCAGCAGCACGATGAGCACGGTGACGGCGAAGCAGAAGCACCAGGTGAACATGCACCACGTCCCGTAGGTTCCCCCGTAGATCCTGGTGGAGGCCACCAAGCTGAACGCGATGCAGGAGAGCACGATGGCGAAGATGCGCGCGATGCCCACCCAGGAGGTCAGCGCCCGC